GGAACAGATATTATATTTCTATATAACTCCATACGGGAACAGATATTATATTTCTATAATACTTCTGACTGCAGTTCAATTACTCACTATCTACACACACATTCCTCCCAGTCACGTTGTCACCCTCTTTTATATACCAGCCTACCCTATATCTAGTAAATGCTAGAGCATTCGCCAAGGTACAGGATAGTTCTAGAAACGTGGCGTGACACTAGTCATGTGACTTCGCTGACGCAACACTATGATACATATGCCTAACTTAATTAGCTTAAATATGTAAACAAACCTGTAACTTATAAAATAACTGGATAACAGAATGGTTGTGATAACTCTCACTACTAACACTGACTCAGTCAATCAATCAGTGCTCACTAACTCTATGCTTCGCTTGCTACCTGAACTGACTCAATCATTACTGATTACTCTAACTTATATGATATATCTACAACACAACCTACAGGGTTCTTTGTTTTTTGTTTTCAATTATGCACAAAGCTACACAAGGGCTATCTGTGCTCTGCCCACCAAGGGGAATCGAAACCGGGTTTCTAGCGTTGTAAGTCCGCAGACATATCACTGTGCCACTGGGGGTGGGGGCTCATGATTCTTAACTTTATTGAACGTTCTAGATCTTAACGTCGTCTAATGACGTGCTCCCTCAAGAAAACATCTAAAAGAAAACATTGAAAATATAGCTCACAATACTTCTTTATTTATTAACACAGGTCGCTGGTCAAATTATTGTTATTCTTAAAAATCAGTCAAGACAGCAATTTTGAAATTTTATAAAGATTTTTCAAATCTTCATGATACTCCTTGTAACAACAGCCATAATTAAAGATTTAATAATAATTATGCTAAATTATCTATCAAATGTAAAAATAAAACACAAAAAAATATTATTCAAGTTACCCTTCCATCCAATATATAGGAATATAAAATTCAGATAAATATATGCGATTTGTTTTGTATGTAAAGTTCTAAATAGAATTTCGCTCTTTTATAATTGCCAACTACAGGAATTTGTTAAACCTAAGTATGAATTTAGAACCACCTATAAAATAAACAACAAACCAACTATTATTCAAACAGAAAATAACTTACTGATATGGTATTAAGGTAGAATGATATCTGGCAGATAAATTGAAATGTCTGCAAAATGCAGGTTTTGGAAATGTTATGCAAATAATAAGCAAACACAAGGAACACAAATGATTAACTCAATCAATATCTCTAATGAGTAATGTTAAGTGTAACAGTAAAGTCTCTTACTGGCTGATTTCTGGTGTGTGCTACAATACTGATTGCACAAAACAAAATCAGGATCAACAATAAGACCTACAATCGTGTAGATATCTCACTTTTAAGTCAGACTGGAGTCAATGACCATTCCAAATAAACATTAAAGAGAAGTAATTCTCAACTCATACTAACTTATACAAGTTTCTTCACCACTTTTTCGAATGAGAATGAATACATTACAGGATGTTATTGTTACATCTCTGGTCGTTTGTTAATTTCCGGTATAAATTCTTCCCGAGGAACTTCAGCGATACAAGTCCTTTCTTAATTAAAACTTGTTTATTTTTTCTCGCTACAAACTTTGTAATACACAGAATTTCCACAGTCACTTTAAGTTCAACACTATAATTCACAACGATTCACGCACTTTACTTACGGTCACTACCGCTCACTTGACTCAATTATTTGTCTCTATATCTCTCTTCAATCTGCTATTATTATCTCCGCTTTATTTGCCGGGCTTATATACTAAAATAGAGGGCGCCTAGAAAAGACTAGAATTGCCAGGAACAGTCATGATCCTTCTAGAAACTCCAGCACGCATGCTTCCAGCGTCACGTGACTTCCGCTGTCGTAACATTATCACACCAAAACAAAAACAAGCACATATAAGCCTATATAACAGTATGTAAACTTTATCTAACGTAGAAAACTTGTACAAGCTCACGGCATTCTTAGATCCGGCTTATAAAAATGTCATTCATCTGCACTAAAATCTAGAAAACTGCCTGGATATATCCGAATAAAGATATCGTAGTCGGATATGTTTTTTAAATATAGATCTTTGTATTGTTCTTAAGCCAGAGGGAGGTTCGACAAAATTCTGATGAGGATGGTTTAAACCCTGTAATTGTCTTCAAAATTTTAGAATAGTATGAGAGTATAAAATATACGTTAAGCTGGAGTAAATGGTTATTGATTTTTGATTATTTTAATAAGCTATATTGAGTCTAAAGTAATGAATGAGTCTGTTAGTCAATTAGTTCAGTGCTGTAAATTTTGAGTTTGTGGGTGAGATGAAGTAAAAGATGCGAAATTAGAAAATAACCAGAATATCTGTTTAGACATTGTTTATTTGTGAAGTTAGGCATGTAACTAGTTACGTTAATTCAATGAGACTAGAACTTAATGTTGTTATAATTCGGTAACCAGAATTTCTGTTTAGAAATTGTTTATTTTTGAAGTTAGGCATATAACTAGTTACGTTAAATCAATGAGACTAGAACCTAATGTTGAAGAAATAAAACACTTTTGTTATAATTCAGTTGACATTGCTCGAATGTTTGGAAAGAACCAGTCAACAATAGAAGCCATTACAACAGTGATGTCTGGAATGAGATTATTTTGTTAAAAATCAAATAAAAACCCAGACTAAAATTTTGAATGTAGACAAACGTCTTGTTATTTGGCCAAATAGAAGTTTGATGTAGCGTGATAGACAAAATTTAACACCTGGAATTGTTTCCAAGGTTATAGAACAGTGCGATAATGTAAGACACGAATTAGGCTAGAGTATATGAGTATAGAGTATATTGTTACGACATCGAGGTCACGTGACTAGTAGCAGCCACGTCATTCTCGAACTTTCACGTCTTTTCCTTAAATCTCGTGATCTTTCTAGATATAGTGTAGTCTTGTATATATAAGACCGGCCACGAAAAAGCGACGGAGAGTTGTGAGTAATTGAACTGCGGTCAGAGAGTGTGTAATTGAACGGAGTATTGTTGAAGTCGAGCACGTGAGAGTTTGTTATAGAGCGACTGTTGAAATTAAGTGTATCGTAAAGTTGTATTCAGAAAGAATAAACCAGTTTTATTTAAGAAAGGACTTGTGTCGCTAAAGTTTCGTAGGAACGAATTTACGGAAAATTAACTAACGAACGGAGACTTAACAAATTGGTGTCAGAAGTGGGATAAAAAAATGGAAACGAGAGGCGGAAAATCAAACTACAGCTTAGCAGACTTGATGGCAGCAGTACAAGAGCAGCAAAAGAAACAAGAAGAACGAGAAAAGAAACAAGAAGAGAGATTACAGCAGTTGTTGGAGGAGAAATAAAATAAGCAAGAAGAGAAATTAC